TTACAGCGAACAGAGGCTCAACCTCTCGAGCGCTCGTACTGATGTCGGCTCCTGGCTCACCTCTGATCCCGAACACTTCAGCAAGGAGCCAAACAGCTTAACGAGGCTCTAAAGCCACACTTATCTCTTCCGGCCTCTTCTTTGACTGGAACAGGATTCAGTCAATTATCCAGACCCCAAATAGCCGGTACGACTGCAGCTCTTGAGGAATAAAACTCTAATACGATCACACACACACACACACACAGAGGATTGGTACACCTCTGCATTTTCTTGGAACATGAACTAGTTTTTCTCGTGGGTAGCTGCCAAATGTATAGTTAAAGCACGAGACAACAACTGGAATCGAAGCTACTGTTTCCTGATGCCGTTTAAAGTTTTAGATTAATAACGTTTGTAAAGAAAGGTTCACGCTTTCAAGTTTTTGCAGCTAAGAAATAAACAAAACCACTATATATGATTTAAATCCTACTGCAACAACAACATGTAGAGTGTCTATCATTGATTTATTACCAAACACTACAGAGCTTTAACAAATACACATTACATCTGTACTGATTCATTATTTGCATACATATAAATCAGCTTTTACTCTGCACAAAACATGGATAATATCAGAAATACCTCTTAATATTAATAATAATGCAGTCAAATACAACACTAACCACCACCTGATTCACCAGGTGCAGGTCTCAGTCGCTGTGTCCAGTTTTAAAGTGCAGTTTCTTTTACAAACAACACATAGAAGTGTGAGTGCTGAAACAATACCGAGGTATCTACGTGCTGTCACTGTTGCAGAAGAGAGGATGACTTCCTGTGAAACCACGGACCAGATGGGACAGAGTGACGGTCAACACAGCTCGTTACAAAACAGCAGAATATGGCAAGAAACCCGGTGACGATAAAGAAACATGCTGCGGGTTTAATTACTCACAGAGCCTCCTGTCAGCACGTAGCACAAACTGACACCACGCTTTTCTAGAGTTGTTCTAAACACAAACACACCCAGTAACCCGGTTTATAACACCTGCTTTAAGTATTCCTCAATGTTAGCTGCCCCCTGAAGCCCCGAATGAATGAATGGAAGAGGACAATACAGCCACGCAGCCCTTTGTGAGGAGCTGCAGTAGTGACCGACCCGAGCAGAGCGACACCGTACCGACTCCCCGGGGTTGGTGGGTGGAGGGGAGGGGAGGAGGGGGGTATTCCCTGTCTTTATTTTACCTTTTGAGATGCTGCTCCAGCTCCCAGAACAAAAGCTTCATCGCCATCTCGTCATGGCCTTGCACTCGTACTCCCCGCACTCTCATCTCATCGCCGTCCGTCAGCAGGATCATACACACTCCGAAAAGTCGCAGAGCAACGCGTCCAGAGAGTCTTTGTTTACTGTTCTTCTGACGCGTCTCAGATTCAGGGAGCAGATCTGGGTCACGGCCCTATAGAGGCATCAGGGAGTGCAGCTGCATGTTGGGAATCAAAGGCGGCCTGCCAGGTTACGGTGACTACGTGTGTGTGTGCTCCTCATTTTTCCTCGTCCGTGTCATCCATTTGTGTTTGAATGGCTGACTTGTGAGTGAATTACTGAGTGCAGACAGTTGCTGGGCGGGCGGTGACGTGTGATCATGTGATACTGGGAGTTACATAAGCCATCGGCAGAGATTAGCAAGTGGCCCGGTGATTTCCTCGCTCCTGCAGCCCTCTGCCCTCTGCAGCCTGAGACGTCGGATATACTATAAAACTCTTGAGCCTCGACTCTTCAGCATCACTTAATCTCTGCACAGCCTCCCAAATGGTACCACAGCCCTCCATACTTCAGGATAATGTACTTTTATAAGCACATAAATGACGCCACAGGAATGTAGAAGTATAAAAAGGTCTAGTTTAGATATTATGTATAAGAAAAGTCGTCAGGGTTTTTGGGTCTTTCCGATCAAAACTCGCAAAAGCGGTTTCAAAAGCAGGTGTGATTTAGTTTTCTGTGCCCTCCTCTGCGTGATAGACGAGAGACCCCGTGCTCTGGGGTCTTATCTCGTTGAAAAGGCTGCCTTAAGATGGCTTAGCGCCTCCGCAGACTGAAACCACAACTTGCACTCACAGAGCCTCCGCAGGATTAGAGACGGCCGGCCAAGAATCAACAGGTGAGGGGTGAGCACAATGCAGGGGATTTCACTTGTCCTAACAGACTCCATGTGCTGCACTGACTTCAGGGTGGGTCATACAGTCCTGCAGCATTTCATAATCAATCGTGTGACGGCTTTCAAACACCTTAAATCCAAAAAATATAGGAAAGCACGTTTTTAAAAAGGCTCAATATTCCCTTTGTAGCGCTCTGTTGGCCTAATATAACAGACGAGAGAAGAGTGAATGCCATGTGATGTGAAATACATATTATTAGTTTTTACTATCACCAATACCACATAGATTAAAATTGGCTGCTATTTATTTATTTATTTACTGTTTTTTTTTTTTTACTGACTGTTCTTTTTGCACTGTTACTGCTTATATTTTAGTTTTTAATTCTTAATTTTTCTGCTGCCTTTTCGCACTACCCTAAGTATTGTATATTTTATATTA